GACCTGGGTCTCAGAGTCCAGTCTCCAGGACTGTAGCAAATTCCTGGTGGTTTTTGTGTTTTTTGTTTTTTTTTTCCCCAGGGTTCTTTTCATTGTTTTTGTGGCCATGAGGATGAACCCAGGGCTTGCTGCATGCTAGACAAACTCTCACTACAGAGCCACAGCTGGAGTCCCTGGATTCCTTTGGTTTCCAGCCACTCTGTGTGTGCCCACAGAAGCCAAATGTACCAACCAGAGTCAGGAGAAAACAGACTAAGACCAGAGGGGAGCCCTACAGGACACCTGGCCAGGTCCCCTGGAATGTCAAGGTCACAATAGACAGGGAGTGCCTGGGAATCTGTGAACTCAGAGGAGCCCAGGGAGACTCAGTCATTAAGGGCCACCTGGAGTCCCTGGCTGGTGTCCTGGGCCTGACAGTACTTTAGAGGAAGAACCTGTGACACTTGGATAAGAACTTCACAAAAGCATAGTGACAAGCTGAGCATGGTCTGATCCAAAACTGGGGAGGCTGAGGCAGGAGGAGACCAGCCAGGTGCCTGGAGTTCCATCATAGATGGTAGGAGCGAACTCAAGTAACTCAGGTTCTCTGCATTAGCAGTGCAGGCTTTTAACAGCTGAGCCATCTCTCTAGTCTGTTTTTTTGTTTTGTTTTTTAAATTAAATATCACTGGGCATGGTGGGTTTAGTCCCAGCACTCGGGAGGCAGAGGCAGGCAGATCTCTGTGAGTTCAAGGCCAACCTGGTCTACTTGGAGAATTCGAGTGCTGAGATTAAAGGTGTGCGCCACCACACCCAGCTATTTTTTTATTTTTTTAAAATAAATAATTTATTCCCAGCACTAGGGAGGCAGAGGCAGACAGATCTCTGTGAGTTCGAGGCCATCCTGGTCTACACAGCCAGTTTCAGGCCAGCTGGGGCTACAGGGAGACCCTGTCTCAAAAAGACAAAATAAATAAATAATTTATTGAGAATTTCATACATGCATATAAGGTGTTTTGATAAAATCCATGCCCACTCCCTCCCCTCCAACTCCTCTGATATTGCCCTATCACTTTTTTTCTGATAACTTCATGTACTCTTTCTTCTATTTATTTGTTTATTTATTTACTTCCTTATTTATTTATTTTTATGGGGCTTTCGGCTACTCTTAACATTCTCGCCACTGAAGAGGTAACCCTAAAATCTTTTAAGAATTAGATAAAAGCTCCCAAATATTTTTGGCCTTTGGAACGGAGTATGTTGCTAAGGGGCCCAAGGACACTGTGACTTTTAGCCAAGCAACTGACTACTTTTCTTTGGGGTCTTTTTACCCTAACTGCCTAGCCAATTCCTACCTCCTATTCTTATCACATCATCCTTTGAAGAGGTTATACAAATTGCCAATAGGGAATCAGGACACAGACCGCTCTGGCTTCTTCCATGCTGAACAGGGATGCAGGGTGAGGCAATTGGAGTACCCCTTCAGTGGGTCTATTTGAAAGACTCCCAAATTGTATAACTCTTATCTTGAGGAGGAAAAGAAAGTCTTTGAATTGTGAACAGGAGATGTGAAAGAGAAGTAAAGGCAAGAGTAATTAGCATTACAAGTTCTAGACGGAACCAGAAAAAAGTCAAAACGGCAAATTTCAAATGTTCATATGAGAGTCCATTGGAATTTCTTGACAAGGGCTTCCAAAAGCATCCCCCTATTGGGTTCCTCCTCATTTTTCTCTTGTCTTCCAAGGCTGGACTCTAGAGTGATGGATTCAGGATTTGCTTTCAGGTATTTTGATAGCTGTTGGGGTGGTTAGAATCAGTGTCAGTTCCCTCTCAAAGGCTTCACTACGTGGAGGCAGGATCCAGGTGCTTTTAGGCAGTCCCTTGTGTTCTCAGGCCCTCTGCCAGAGGGAGGCCAGAACTGGGCACTCTCTGGCAGTCTGCTGAGATCAGAGCCACTACACCAATGGAAGTTGGAACCCACCCTCTCAGGCTGTCTGCTAGGATTTCAGCCTTAGCCTACTAAAGCCAGAACTGCCCTACATTATTATTATTTATATGTATGAGTATTAGCCTGCATGTATGTAAGTGCACCACATGAATACAAATCCTGTGGAGGCCAGAAGAGGGTGTTGGACCTGCTGGAACTGGAGTTACAGATCATGGTTAGTTGCCCTGTGGGTGCTGGGAACTGAACCTGGGTCCTCTGCAAGAGGAACCAGTGCTCTTTTTTTTTTTTTTTTTTTTTTTTGGGACAGGGTCCCCCTTTGGCCCCAGCTGTCCCGGGGCCCCCTTTTTGTCCCAGACCGGCCTTGAATTCACAAACTACCTCCTGCCTCTGCCTCCCAAGTGCTGGGATTAAAGGTGTGTGACACCATGCCTGGCTATGTCTTAAAATTTTTTAATTAATGAATTACTTTTGCATGTGTGGGTACCTGTGCCAGGGTGTCAGAGGACAGCTTGCTGGGGTTGGTTCTCTCCATTGTGTGGGTCCAGTGGATGGAACTCAGGTCATCAGGCTCAGTAGCAAGTGCCTTTACCCACTGAACTATCTAACCAGGCTGGGTTTTCTTTCTTTGTTCCTTTGAGACAGAGTCTGATTTAGTCAACACTGACCTCAAAGTTTCTATGTAGCCCAGGCTATCCTAGAAGTCATGATCCTCCTGCATCCACCTCCTGAGTGCTGGGGTGACAGGTGTGTACCACCACCCCTCGTTTATGTGGTGCTGGGGATGAACCCAGGACTCAGTGCATGCTAGGTGAACACTCTACCCACTGAGCCACGAGCACTCTACCCACTGAACCCCCAGTGTGTTTTGTTTTTTTTATTTTTAAAATATTTTATTATTTTTATTTTATGTGAGTGCACCCGTGTCATGCAATGCCATGGAGGTCAGAAGAGGGCTTCGGATTCCCCTGAAACTGGAGTTAAGGACGGTTCGTAGCCACCATGTGGATGCTGGGACTCGAACCCAGGTCCTCTGCAAGTCAGTGCTCTTAACCGCTGAGCCATCTCTCTAGCCCCTGTTGTTTGTTTTTTGAGGAAGGCTGGCCTGGAACTCCACTGTCCTCCAGCCACAGCCTACTGAGTGCTGGGATTCCAGGCTTTCACTACCATGCCTGGCCTCTTTGACAGTTTCAAAGAAATCATCATACTTCACAGTAGCCACATATTTGCCATCCCCACCAGCTGGCACAGGGCTCTGGTACTATCTGTAACTAGCTTGAAAATGAGTGGACACTCTCTCCCCCGCTGGCTGTGAGTTGTCCACAGGTGCTGTGGGCATCTAAGTGTGGTCCCTTCTGGAGTCTAGGCTTCTTCTTCTGGAGATATGTTGAACTGGTCTGTCTGCTTATCTAAATACAGGTGTATTTAGGTTTCTCTGTCTAAAATTTTTTTTTTTTTTTGTCTTTTTGAAGCAGGGTTTCCCTGTAGCCCCAGCTGTCCTGGAACTTACTATATAGCCCAGGCTGGCCTTGAACTCACAGAGATCCGCCTGCCTCTGC